TCTACCCAATCTTCCTGTTGGTAGTTGATGAAACAACGTAAATATTACTCTAGTACAGAATTAGTCCTCTCACAAGCCCCATTAGTCTGAGGGTGGTGGGTGGAGCTTAACCCTTGGGCGGAGCCAATCCGCTTCAGAAACTCCTTCCAGAAAACAGAGGTGAATTGCACTCCTCTGTCCGAAATGATGCGGTCGGGCACCCCATGTAAGCGGTAAATATGGGAGGTGAACATCTTAGTGAGAGACTTAGCAGAGGGAATCTTGGAGCAAGGGATGAAATGGACCTGTTTGGAGAACAAGTCGGTAACAACCCAGATAACAGTGTGTCCCTGACTCTCGGGAAGTTTGACAATGAAATCCATGGAGATCTCCTTCCAAAGGGCCACTGGACGAGCTACCACCTGGAGTAACCCCTGTGGCTTTCCCGGAGGGCGTTTCACAGCAGCGCAAACGGGACAACTGGCAACATATTTCTCAATGTCCTTTTTCAAAGAGGGCCACCAAAATTGTCGCTTGATGAGGTGGAGCGTCTTGACGAAGCCAAAGTGCCCTGCCATCCGGGAATCATGAGCCTGTTGAAGAACAATGAGTCTAAGAGACGCAGGAACATATAATTTTGTCCCAATCCAAGGCAATTCATCCCTCATAGTGCATTCATTCACGTGCTGTTGGAACCAATCATCATCAGCGAGGGCACTTTTCAGGTTGGAAAGAAAGTCCTGAGACATCTCTACCTTAGAACGCGTTTGACTTCTAGTAACAACAGGAGCAGCGAGGCTCGTCGCGGGAATGACAGGCTGGACCACACTGAGCTTAGAACAGTTGTATTGAGGAAGTCTAGATAAAGCATCAGCCATAAAAAAATTTTCTCCCTGGAATGTATTTTAAGGTAAAATTAAATCTATTGAAATGCTGAGCCCAGCGCATCTGTTTAGGAGAAAGTTTCCTGGGCGTCCTCAAAGCTTCCAAATTCTTATGGTCAGTCCACACCTCAAAAGGGTGTTTGGTGCCCTCTAGAAAATGGCGCCATGTGGCCAAAGCCCAGCGAACAGCAAACGCTTCCTTCTCCCAAATGGCCCAACGCCTTTCCGTGTCGGTTAGTTTGCGAGAGGTGTACGCGCAGGGTTGTAAATTACCTTGACCATTAGCTTGAAGCAACATAGCCCCCACAGCCACGTCACTGGCGTCAGCTTGAACCACAAAAGCTGCGTCCATGTCCGGGTGTTTGAGGACTGGTTCCTCCGCGAAAAGCCGCTTTAACTTCTCGAAGGCGGCTTGGCATTCCATGGTCCAATCCAGCGGCTTGCTAGGCTTGGGTTTCGCCCCACCTTTAGATTTCAGGAGGTTAGTTATGAGAAGAGCTATCTTAGCAAAAGAGGGAATAAATTGCCTTGGATTGGGATGAAAT